TCTGCGCTCTGGCCTGAGGGTGTCCAGGGACAGTGAGTCACCACGGCCTGCAGGAGGTCTGCGGAGGCCACGGTGAGCCCCTTGGCCCGTGAGCCCCTGAGCTCTGGGCACAGAGGGGGATGCGTAGAAGGGGCAGGGGCGGGGCCCAGAGGAGCCTGGTGGGCAGGAGGAACACACCTGACCTGGGCAGGTGAGCACTGAGTCCCATCACTCACTGCGCCCTCGAGCCCTGTCCCCAGGGCCAAAGCCTCACAGACCCTCCCTCGGGGGTCCCAGGCGCCAGGCCCTGCGGCCATTGGTGGTGCTGGACATGCCTTCCTGTATGCTGCTGGCAGGAGGCCTGCCTGGAGGAGGCCGAGCACACGGCAGGGTGAGCATGTGGAGGCCTGGGGTGCTCAGGGTGCTTGGCCAAAGTCTCCTGGGACTCAAATCCAGGCTGGCCAGGCCATCCTCTCCAGGCAGCCGAGCTCCGCCTGCCAGTTTCACGTCTGCCTCCTCCCCTCCCTCTCGCCAGGCTCACCTGGTGTGTCCCCCCCACCTTCTCTGGCTTCAGCCCCGAGCCCGGGCCTGCCGCGTTCCCACTGCGCTGAGGCCTCGCCCAGATCCACAGGGAGGGGTCGTGCGTCCACACTCGCACTCACAGGACTCAGGGTGAGGGGCTCGGTCCTCCGCCCCTGCCCGAGAAGACCCTGGGCTCAGCCCCACCTGGCACCAGGCGACCACCCGGCCCTTCCAGCCTTTCTGTGGCTTCCCCCAGGCGCCCCTCCCAGTGGCTTCATGTCCCACCCCGCTCCGAACTCGCTGGGGCCGAGGAGCTTGATTCCTCCTGTCATTGTTACTATTTCCTGAGCGTCCGCTGGGTGCCGGGCACCGTGCTGGGACTCGAGGATCAGAAGCCACGTGAGTCTGCACAGTCCCTTTTGATTTTGTCAACCACTTAAAATATAAAAACCATCCATAACTGGCAGGGCAGGCACGCGGCTGCAGTGGGCTGGGGGTAGCCCACGGGCCGTGGTCTGTGACCCTTGCTCTGTAGCCACGAAAACAAACGAACGTCAGCCACCCCGTCCATTGGATGCAGCTTTAGAAACACAATGTTGAATGAAAGAAGAGGGTCACAAAGGAACGCGCACAGCATCGTTCCAGTTGCAGAAAAAAGTTGAAAAGCAGGCAAAACTCGCCTCTGTGGCTCAGTGACGGGCACTAATGATAAAACTATAAAGAAACGCCAGGGAGTGATCGCTCTAAAAGTCAGGATGGTGGTTCCGACCTCGGAGGGGAGGGAGGGGTGTCTGGGGAGGCACAAGGGCCTCTGGGGCACTGGAATGTTCTCTGTCTTGACCTGGGTGGCAATCACACAGGACGCTGTTCCACAGCGTTTATTGTCCGGCGCGGCACTTTTCTGCACGCGGCACTTTTCTGCACGCGTATTATAGTTCACAATTACAAAGGAGAAAGCAGCGAGACAGGACCTGTCGGGAGGGCGCCGGGACCCCTGCCTGACAGGCATTCACATCCGTGCACCGCTCTGCCAGGGACGCTCCCCTGCAGCCCCGCGAACCTCTCCGTCCCTCCCTCTGCCCTGCCGCCTGGCCTTTCCGCCTTTGTTGCTGCTGCGCGGCTGCCCACCCGCCGCTCCGCACTCCCCGCCTGCCCAGGGCAGGGAGCGGGCGTCTCCCCGCCTGCCTGGCCCGAGCTTTCGGCTGGATTAGACAAAGATGAAAAGCAGAGGCCGCTCCTGAGAGGGACCCGGAGCTGCGGGAAGGGAGACAGGAAGCCTCAGCCGGGCAAAGACAGAGGCTCCTGGACACCTTTTGCATGAAAAAGGGCCGGCGACACCTGGGTCCAGAGCAAACAGGAGGGGAGGCAAACCTGCCGCGGGAACTTCCCGCCTTGGGTCACATTGTCTGGCTGAGTCTCCGGGTCACCACCTGGCTGACTGTGGTTTGCGCTGCTCTGGGGTCCCCCGGTGACTAGAACTGGTCCTCCTCAACATCTATTTGAGAACTAAATAAAGCCCAGCTTTCTCAAAAGGCCAAGAGGAAAGAGGGGACTGACATTTGTTGAGGACACTAGGCTCAGAAAGGTTAAGTAAATTGCCCGAGGTCACACAGCAGTCAAGAGAAGAAGGCAGGCCTTGAACTCAGGTCTATCTGGCCCCAAAGTCCTTGGAGGTGACGGAGACCCGGAGACCCGGGGAGGCAGGGCTGAAGTAGGAACAGCCGCTCCAGGGAAAGCCGAGCTTCCAGCTCCCACGATCCACCCGGGAGGAGATCACCAGTGGCGGCGGGAACCCTTGGGAAAAGCAGTGTGCAGAGGGGTCAGGAAGCTCACACCGGGGAGGAGGGGGGATGGGGGCAAGAGAGGTCCTAAGATGCCTCCCAGGGTGTGCCGGAGACTGCGAGAAAGGAGCCTGTGGCCTCGTGGACCATATCTCAAGTCTCCACGGCCCTGCCAGGCTAGCCGGTGGCTGGCATTCATGAGCAGTACCCACCGGCGGGCTCTCAGTGCCCAGGACGGCACTATTATCGTACCCATTTAACAGATGCGGCAATTAAGACACAGGGATACAGGGTCCTGGGGTGGGTGGCAGAGCTCAGATTGAAACTCAGGCTGAACACTGTAGCCTGCCCTCTTAACCCTACATCCTCCCATGTTCAGGGAAACCTTGCAGACTCAGCCACCTGGGCTTCGGTGAGGACGCCAGGGACCCCTCCCGTGGACACAGCTGACGGAACTGGCAGGTGGTGGAGCTGGTTGCACCAGGCTGATGGTTGAAGCCAGGACGCTTTGGAAGATGCGGGAGGGGCAGGATTCCTTCCCCTAAACCTCAAATTGTGGAGGCCAAGGAGGTGGGGGAGAGGTGTGGAGCAACAGGTAGATGAAGGCGGCTGGAGGGGCAGGACCGAGAGCACTTGGGGTGGTCCGTCTGCTGCCCCAGTGCCTTCTAGGACGGCGGTCCCCACCCCCCGGGCCAAGGCCCAGGACCGTCTGTGTCCTGTCAGGAAACTGGCCATGAATCACCGCCTGAGCTCCACCCCACGGCCCCACCTCCCCCGTCCATGGAAAAACTGTCTTCCATGACACCAGCCCCTGGTGCCAAAAGGGTTGGGACCACTGTTCTAGGCCACCACGCTGGTGTCTTAGCCTCTTGAGAAACAGCAGAGTTTCTCTTTTGTGAAAGGTTTGTTGCAATACAGGGGGGAAATCTGTTTTTGTTTGCAGTTGAGACTGTTACAAAAGAGCTTTTCCGGCAAAGCCTCTCCTAGCGCTCAGTTACAGGGTGTCTCCTAGGGAGGAGGGACCACACACAGAGAAATGATGGGAACCGGGGGAAAATCAGGTTAAAAATGACCAAGTGTGAGTTCAAATGCATGTCACCAACAAACGGCACTTCCGGTACCCCGGTCATCTTTGCACCAGACTCTTGGGGGGGGAGGTCACCCAATGTCACTGGGGGCTGGGCCCAGCCTGCACAGACACCACATGGGGCAGCTCTTGCCTCCCCAGGGTAAATTTTTCTGAGAAAAATGATCTTTGCAGTGAAAGATAAGAAGTGCCCCATGGCTAGGCCCGGTGGCTCACGCTTGTAATCCTAGCACTCTGGGAGGCTGAGGCGGGAGGATCGCTCGAGATCAGGAGTTCGAAACCAGCCTGAACAAGAGAGAGACCCCGTCTCTACTATAAATAGAAACAAATTAATTGCTCAGCTAAAAATATATAGAAAAAATTAGCTGGGCATGGTGGCGCATGCCTGTAGTCCCAGCTACTCAGGAGGCTGAGGCAGGAGGATCGCTTGAGCCCAGGAGTTTGAGGTTGCTGTGAGCTAGGCTGATGCCACGGCACTCTAGCCCGGGCAACAGAGTGAGACTCTGTTTAAAAAAAAATTGGCGCCCCAGAGCCCACAGCCCCCAAGGGCCGGGCTGAGCTGAGGCTGAGCTGGGTCTGACCCAGGCCAGGCCCTGAGCAAGTTCACTGGCCTCCAGGCGCCTCCCTTTCCCTTTCCTTTTCCTTAAAATGGTGCTGGGGAGGCCAGTGGGTGCCCCACGGCTGCTGTGAGGGTGGACGGTACGTGTCCAGTTAAGGCTCAAGAAAGGCTAACTCATGATCACGAGAATAATTGTCACAGCATAAAGGAGAGCCAGGGTGGAGCAGAAGGGGGAGGCAGCTCCTGGAAGCCCCCTCAGCCGAAGCGAATACAAAAGAAAAGCACCTACTCCACAGTGGGGCGGCTACGACGGGCTGCAAGAGGGCCGGCCGGTGCCCAGGCCAGGCAGGGCCAGAGAGAATCTGGAAGAACTTACTGAGCACGAGGAACCCCGGTGCTGGCAGCCCCGGAGGAGGACACTCCCGGGCCTGACACACTCTCCCGGAGGCCACATCCCCACGGCCCGCCTGGGCCAGGCCCCAGCTTCGGAGGGCGCCTGACCCCAGCGAAGGGGCACCTTTGGAAAGACACGCTCGAGTCCTAAGACGCTTGGCCTCCGGTTGTTTCAGGAAGTGGGAGGCGCAGCCCTTTCCGCCAGTTTTGTGCCCAGGGTGCAGTGCCCTGCGGCTGGCCCTGGCCTCCCCCTCTCTCCCTGGCAAAGCCGGCAACACGCCGGGGATGGCTCTGCCGTTGGCAGGTTCGACGTGGCGGCGCCTCCGCAGTAGCCACGTAAGATTCCTTGGGCGGTGAGCCGTCCCTCCCCACTGACCCGCACCCGACCCAGCCACGCGACGTCCGCCCTCCTTGTTTAAGGGCTGTGCCGGGGAGGCTGTTAGCACGGCGGCGAGGGGCCAGTGCTGTCCTCCGCCCCTTCAAAAGCCACCTTGGCAAGGCACTAGCTAAACATCCTCTTGGTCCCTGAAGGCTTCCCCTGTGAAGTCTGCAATGTTCAAACGACAACCAGCAAATCCCTGGAGACAGGTCCCCGGGAATTAGCCGCACCGGCCGGATGAAAGCCGCTCTGATGTTCCCGGGCGAGGGAGTACGTGAGAAGAAGCAAGACAGACGCTACCTGCCAGCCGCAGGGTCCAGGGCAACAGGAGCCAGCCGAGGAGCCAGGAGGCCATGGGGAGGCCGGGAAGGCGCAGGGGACCCGGCAGGGCCCGCCACCACGGACGCCGGCTCAGAATCTGGGCCTTCTTTCCAGTCAGTGTCCCTCCTTCCTCTTTAGTTCTCGGGAGGGGGAGGGCCCACGCTGGCGCCGGCACCCGGTTCCCCTTAGCGTTCCCAGGAAGTTCCTCCCCAGTGGCCGCTCTGCTTCCTCAAGGCTTCCTCGGCCAGTTCCGCTCCCTGGACCTTCAGCTCAAGCGGCAAGACCAGCCCTGGGCAGGGGTGGCTGCCAGGTGAGGGATCTGGGCCTCAGACCTGTCCAGGCCACGGGACCAGAAGGGCTGGGACAGGGACCCAAGCCTCCCTGCTCCAAACCTTGGGGGGTTCCACCCCTCCTCGGCCCCACAGTCCAGACATTGGGACCACGTAGAGGGGGGCGCAGGATTGCCATGGGAACGGAAGGTCCTGGTTTAGCTCCCCACTTCTGAAACACCTTTAAAACGACCACAGTCGGCCGGGTGCAGTGGCTCACGCCTGTAATCCTAGCATTCTGGGAGGCTGAGGTGGGAGGATCGTTGAGGTCAGGAGTTGGAGACAAGCAAGACCTTTAGTAGAGACAAGCTGAGGTGGGAGGATCGTTGAGGTCAGGAGTTGGAGACAAGCAAGACCTTTAGTAGAGACAAGCTGAGGTGGGAGGATCGTTGAGGTCAGAAGTTCGAGACAAGCAAGACTTTTAGTAGAGACAAGTCTCTACTAAAAAATAGAAAGAAATTAGCTGGACAACTAAAAATATATATATAAAAATTAGGTGGCCATGGTGGCACATGCCTATGGTCCCAGCTACTTGGGAGGCTGAGGCAGGAGGATTGCTTGAGCTCAGGAGTTGGAGGTTGCTGTGAGCTAGGCTGACGCTACGGCACTCTAGCCTGGGCAACAGAGTGAGACTCTGTCTCAAAAAAAAAGAAAAAAAGACAAACGACTACAACTGTGTTCACACAAACTTCCCCTCTCAAATATCCCAGGAATCCCTTGATAATGTGCTTACCAAAGAGTAGGGTTTGGGGTGGGGGTGGAGGTGCTGGGAGGATAGGGTGGGCACCAGGAGCCACACGCTCCCAGCCTCAGAGAGGACCAAACACATCTGGGGACCAAAAGGCAGGCTGCCCACCACTCGCCCAGCAAGGGCCACTGGGGGTCCCTGGAAGAAGCCTAGGGGACACCTCCTCTCTGGCTTACCTTAAATGTCATCTCCTCCCTGTGGCTTCCCTGAACCTTAGCTCACCCCGTCCCGCCACCCCCGCCATGAGACACAGGAACTGCTTCCCCATCTGGCTGCACAGCTCAGCCCTGTTCTCGCCTCCAGCAGGTGCCAACACAGGGACAGTGACAGTCTGCTGTTTGCTGCCAGGGCCCCTTTCCTCTGTGCACTGGGAGCCTTCCGCCCTGTGCGGCCTGGAGCCCAGCAGGGGCCTGGTCAGGTGGGGTCAGCGGTCTGCCGGCCGTCTGGAGCGACAGAGGAACGCGGCTGGGGCGGGAGGGTCCTGGCTGGAGGAGGCAGTGGGTGGGAAGGCGGCTGAGCTGCTGGGACCTTGTCTCTTTCTCTGTCGGTGCCCTTGGCCCCCACATAAATATGGTTGTCCCAACCATGCTAGAAAGAAGACCGCAGCCCCCAAAGGCAAAGCGACTTGCCCAAGATCAGGGCAGGTCCTTGGGGCAGGAATTCTAACCCCGGGCTGTGCGAGCCTCGCTTCCCACCCACCACGGCCTGTTCAGCGGAATCCAGGCACCGGCTGCAGCCCCAGGATGGCACCGCGAGGTCCAGGTTCGGTCTTTGCCCAAATGCCTTTGCCTCAGCCACTCCGCACATGAACAGTGGAAACCAGAAGCCGTTTCCCACCAACGCCAGAGCGTGGGAGGGGCAGGGCAGCCGCCAGGGGAGAAAGACGAGGAGCACAAGACATTTCCTGCCGGCGCCCGGGGGGAGGTGGCGAGGGGGCCGGGGGGCCCCAGTGGTGTTGACTGCTGACCCATCACGGTGATACATGGTCGCGTATGTCACAGCCAGACACAGATAATCTGCTCCACGCTGTTCCCCAGCTCCTGGGGGGAGCAGGTTGTCTAAGCGCCTCGATGCGATGTGCTAGACCTCATGCCAATGCCCCGGGCACAGAGTGAGTGTTCAAAAGGCTCAGTCTGAGCCTCCACAAGTCTCCTTACGGCTTGGCACCGGGAGGCAGCTGAGAGCAAAGGTGCCCCGGAAGATGGGACCCTGCCCATCCGACACTGGCGCTGGCTCCACCCCACCCAGGGACCACCTGGCTGCACCCCGTGCTGGCTCTGTGCTCCCCAACCTCCCAGAGCTTCACCGCAGCTAAGCCTGGTCCAGCCGGCCTGTTCCCACCTGGCCCGGCCTCCAGCCTGTCTCCACCTCCGAGCCCTGCGCCCGGCACAGAGGTGCTCGAGTGGGGCTGGTGAGCACGAGGCGGAGGTGCGGGCCTTCCTCCCCGGCCTGCCGCGGAGGCTGCCCTGACTGTGAGCACACAGTGGGCTCTCAGCAGGCGTCGGGACAGCTGGACCTGGGCGTGGGGCCATGCCCTCTCCAGGTGGGCCCCTAGAAGAGAGGCTGAGGGTCCCGGCAGGGACAGGCCTGGGCAAGGCGCCCACTGGCCCAGGCTGTGCTGTCAGGGCCTCAGGAGTCAGGACGATAGAAGAGAAACCACTGCACATCCAGAAAGCTCATTTTTGTCAGAACTTCCTATCCGTTCTCTCGAGGTTCCTCGCCTGTCCCCGGCCCAGCAGAGACGGCCCGAGGGCAAGGTGCGGAGGAGCCAGAAGCCTGCACAGCCTCAGGACTTTGCAGGCCAGGTCGCGGGAAGGCACCTCTCAGCCACTGGCTTGCATGCAGGGCCCTGGCCTCGCAGCGGACGTGGACGTGGAATTCCCCAGCCAGTGTCTGGAGCGGGCGCTGGGCGACCCCAGCACCATCGGGTAATGACAGAGCAGCCTGGGGCAGCTGCTGAACGCCAGACACTGCTCTGGGGGTGTTAATCTCCTAACCAACTTGATTCTCACCGCAGCCCTATGAGTAGGAGCTCTAATCGTTTCCATTGTACAGACGAGGAAGCTGAGGCTGGAGGAGGTTAAAGTAATTCCTAACTGCTACTCTAGCCCACCTCGAGGCAGAGGTGTGCATGGTGCAAAGGAGGGGGGAGGGGGAGGAGGAGGGGCTGGCTGGGGGAGGTGGCAGCCCTGAAGGAGGAGAAAGTTGGGTGGGCAAATGGAGGAGCACAGGTGTCCCTGAAGTCCCCAGGGGCCTCCTCCCCACTAAGACTAGAGCTTTCCAAATGGGACCACAACTGCTGGGCCCTGTTTCGGCTTAGTTCCATGCACACTTGTTCTGTGCCTCCTGTGTGCTGGGCCGCGTGTGGGCAAAACCTACGTCATGGTTTTGTCCTCAAGGCCTCTCGTGCCGAGAGACAGAAACATCTCCAGGATTTCCAAATGCCCAAGCGAGCAAGTGTGACGTCGGTCGCCATGAGGTCCTGAGCTCCCCGAGGTTCCTCTCCAGGCAGCGCTGTGGGTGGTGGGTGCACAGGAAGCAGAAGTGCCGTGGGACGGGGACCACGCTGCTCCCTGCCCCAGCCTGGCCCGGGGAAGTCACTTCATTCCTCCCCGAAGACTCCCACACCCGGAGGAGCCAAGCCACCAGCAGGGGGGACCTCTCAGAAGGAACCTCCAAGCTGGCCCGGTGGCTGAGACAAACAGCATTCCACTCCCCAGGTCCCCACGCCCAGGGTGCCAGGGCCGACACTCTTTAGACTGAAACAGGATCGGCACCTTTCACCTGTCTTGAAAATGAGCACTTCTCATCTCTGAGGATAATCAACTCGAACAAAAGACTGACCGACCAGGACCTCCACTTTCCACTTAGCAGAAAACCCAGCTCCAACAAACGACTCTTTAAACAATGGTGAAAAGGGCTACCATTCTTGAAATAATGGTGAATGGATGGTGAGATAATTCTCTCCATAGACGCTGATGCTCCTAGTTTCCTTCCACCTTCTCCTTCCAGCACCCCCGCATGAAAAAGGTGCAGCTGCCTTCCCCTCCCAGGAGTAGCCTGGTTTTCTTTTGGGTCCTTCTTGTACCACGTAGCAGCCCTGCACTGGGTGGTGCTGACCCTCACCTGCAGACAGGCAAGCCCACCTGGGGGCCACCTGCCCTGCAGGCTCCCTGGGCCTGAAGCCCAGCCCCGCTGAGCTCCAAAGTCCCCTCGAAGCTTGAGCCGCCCGTATCTTTGGCTCTTGAGCATTTGCTTCATGCCAGACACGGTCCTAAAAGCTTTTCCTGTACGTCGGTGCTCACAGAAACCTCCTGCAGGAGGTGTTATTATGCCCCCATTGTACAGATGAGGAATCTCAAGTTCAGAGGACACGAGCCCCTTGCCCAAGGCCACATAGCAAGTAGGCTGTGGACCCAGGACTTGAGCCCCAGTGACTGCACTGTTCTGCAAGGGACCTGATTTTTCAGTCAGGGCAGGTATTGTCACCTCATTTTAAATATTTGGGGATGGAGAAAAAGCGTATGTGACCTGCTGGAGGTCACAAAGGCAGCCAGAGGCACGCCTGGGTCCAGGGTCCAGAGACCTTCCTCCTGGACATACACGCACGGTTAGGCAAGACCTTCCCCGCTAAGCTATGCGACTGCTCCCACCCCCCACCCCGTCACGCCCAACGTAATCCCAAAGATCTGGAGAAAACAGAAAACAAAGGTGGCACCATTTTCAACATTCATTCCAAATCCACCAGGAGCCAAGGCTTTGTGAGGCTCAGGCCCTGAGCACAACTGCGTCCGTGGAAGAAACAAGCACCCACCCAGAGGCTGGTCGCTGGAGGTCCTGGGGCAGCAGGCGCAGAGCCACCAAGCCCTGCGCTAATGTCCCTGCTTCCCTTCCTGGCCACGCGGGACAGCCCCGGGCAGGCCCGTGCTGATGGCGCCACCTGGTGGTAGATGTGAGAACGCCCTTACCTGAGAGTGCTTCCTCTCGTGACCCTTTCTTCCTCCCCTGCAAGGGTCCTGGGCTGGCTGGGGGGGTTGCCACCCAGCAAGATCAGGCCAGGCTTG